TGCGCCCCTACCAGTGCAAACTGCCTCTTACCTGCCGGTAACAAGGGAGAACAGAACACCCAAGAGCCCAACAGGCGGCCGAAAAACCGAAAGGTAAAACGGACCAGCAGAGGCAGACCCCGAGGAGCCTGTGGAAGGTGGCCCCAAGCCCCAAGGGCAGTACTTACAGGGCACCTAGGGAAGGCAGCCCTAGGCGCATGCAGCCCGAGTACTGAAGGTAACTCCTGGCTCTCGCACCCACAAAACTAACACCACACGCAAAGCACAGTGCAGTAGCGACACCGGAGCCAGAGCACACGACCATCGCCTATAGCATCAGCCTCAAGAACTGAGGTGTGGGTAGCCGGCGCGGGGGATCTGGGGCTCCCCCTTCCCCCTCCCGGGGAGGGGGGAGCTGCGCAGACAGCGGCGCGGCAGTGTGTGACGTCACACTAGTTTGCTTGTTTTCGGTTGGGGAGTTCTATCCACTAGTTCGGTTTTAGGTAGCAATTTTAACCAGAATAGGGGTTTGTTTTGGGGCGCTTACCTTTCTGGGTGCCTGTTCCGGTCGATGGCAGACATAGAATGCTTCCAACTACACGGGGGCTTCTATAGGCCATTGCTCCCCTTGCCTCTCTGAGGGGGCCCGGTTCTGGCCGTGGTCCCCGGTAGGCCTAAGAACTCCATACACATGACTGATGCCAAAGTCTGACATTAGCATATCAGCCTGGGATAGCTCCGGGGAGCCGACGGGGCTCCCCCCAGAAAAAAAAGTTTTTTTTTTTTTAAACTGTTTTTCATGTGTTTTTTATGCGAGAGAAATCTTTGAAACCTCTTTACCGATTGCCTTGAAATTTTGACATGATGTTGCATTCGAATAGGCGCGTGTTTTTATACACCTACTATATACATACCTTACCTGTGACAGGAAAAAACATGCTTTTTTTTAAAAAAACAGTGCCATCTATTGGACGTAAGAGTATGCTGTAATCTCCCTAAGTTCTTCACCAATTGCTTTGAAATTCTGAAACAACGTTCCATTCGAATATGTGCGTGTTTTTATATACCTACTATATAGATGCCACACCTGTGACAGGTAAAAACATGTTTTTTTTTCAAAAACAGCGCCATCTGATGCACATAATAGAAACACACGCGCTATACTAAATATGTTACGAATTCCATTACAATGTTTCCGATTGCATTGATAAATTTAATTTCCATAGATTTCAATTTATTTTAATTTTTATTGAATTATGTTGTGATATTGTGTTGGAATTGTGACAACTGTGTTGTTTACGAAACAGTTCATTTCGTTAAGTATAGATGCCACACCTGTGACAGGTAAAAACTTTTTTTTTTAATAAACAGCGCCATCTGTTGCATGTAAGAGCCACACACACTATACTAAATATAGTACGATTCCATTTCAATGTTTTCAATTACATTGACAAATTAAATTTTCCTACATTTTGATTTATTTTCATTTTCATTTAATTATTTTGTGTGACATTGCATTGGAACTGAGCAATGTTGTGTACCATACTGTTCATTTTGTGAGTACAAGTATAGATGTCACACATGTGACAGGTAAAAAACATGATTTTTTAAAAACAGTGCCATCTGTTGCACGTAAGAGCAACATACGCTATAAAGTACTTAATATGTTTCGATTCCATTTCAATGTTTCCAATTTCATTGATAAATTGAATTACCATAGATTTTGATTTTTCATTTTGATTTAGTCATTTTGTGTGACACTGTGTTGGAATTGAGCTTTGTTGTTTACCATACCGTTCATTTCCCGAGTATAGATTATTTTTTTATTTTTTCATTTGTTTCATTATGTTTTTTAATTTTTTTCTTATATATCAGTGATGGGAACATCAGATTAATTGATGTTCCTAATTTTCTGATGGGAACATCAAATCATTTGGGAATGCATCGAACGAGGGAGTGGGGAATGGTGGGGAGGACGAGGGGACAGGGGAATGAAGATTGGTAGGGGAGGACAAGGTGACAGGGAAGTGGGGGGATGGTGGGGAAGACAAGAGGACGAGGGAGAGGGGAATGGTAGGGAGGACGAGGGGACAGGAGTGGGAGTTGGTGGAGAGGACGGTGGAGTGGGGAATGGTTAGGAGGACGAGGGGATGGTGGAGTGGTGGATGGTGGGAAATGGGGGATGGGGGAGGGAGAAAATGGTGGGGAGGACGAGGGGACGGGGGAATGGGGAATGGTTAGGAAGAAGGGAGAACGGGGGAGGGGGAAATGGTAGGGAGGACTGGGAGAAAGGGGGAGGATTGCAGTTGCTCAGCAATGCATGTGCGTTGCCGAGCTACAGCACCGACATCCCTGCTTAGATTTTAAAATCTTCCTAACTCAACCAAGCCTAAAACAGCCTAATCTAAGCTAATACAGTACATCCTAATCTAACAATATGCAGTACTGCACGTGATTTTGATAATCAGAAAACTAGCTGTATCGCATAATCATGTGTACAATTTCACTGAATCCCTACCTAACCCAACTCGTCCTAAGCAAACCCAAGGAACAACAAATAAAACTTTTATACAATGTGCAAGAGGTGTGTGACATCACTACGATGTCACAGTTTTAACGTCGGCAAGGATTTCGGATGCTTCTGGCAACATTTGGACATAACATTTCCAACTAGTCACATTCTACTAAGCTTTCTAGACAAGTTGGGTTAGGTTTTGCAGTTAAGTGTTTCATTAAGTTATGGTTTGACTATGTTAAGCTGCAACATGAAAAATGCCTTCAGACAGGAAACCTTTTGTTAAGTGACGTCTCCCAGTAAAGGGCAAGATTACAGATATACAGTGCCACTGTTGGCAACAACAAGCATGCTAGACATGTGAGGTCCCCATAGACATGGCAAATAGGCATATGCCATCGTGAAGGAGGCGTGTGACGTCATTATGTTTCTGGCAGTAAAGGATTTGGAGCTTACATCACCCATCCAGTAACTGGTCAGACTACTACTTAAGCTGACAATGATTAATGTACACATCACCTACTGCACAACACAAGCCAACGGCAATACCACTTTGAGAACACCGCTTTTCGTCCGATCAGCGAAATTATATGTTTAGTTTGGTTAGTACAGTACTTGGGAATGCCTGGGAACACCAAATGCTATTGGCATTAAATTTTAAGGGTCCCAATAGTAGTCGGGTTCATTCTCGACTCACAGTCGAACATTCCAGGTTTGAATCCCGGGTGGACCAAATGGATGGGTACATTTCCTATCACCTAGCAGTAAATAGGTACCCAGGAGTTAGCCAGCTTGTTGTGGAGTTGAATCCTGGGGAAGGTCAGTAACTTGACCCTGGGGTGCGGGGGATGTCTCAAAATAAGCCTAACACGTACTGTATGTATAAATTGTCTGCCTGTCTCGAGACACAATGAATTACTGTATAATTATTATTAACACTTTTGGCTACGTCCACAAGAACATCCAAAGCAACTGCCCAGACCCAAATGGCACATCATCCAACTGATCATGTAACATGACGATAATCCCAGCTTTGATTTCTAGGCCGGACAAAAATGGTTGGGCATGTTTCCTTTCACCTGATACCTCTGTTCATCTAACAGTAAACAGGAACCCCAGGAGTTGGGCAAGTGTTAAGGAGTCCATTATGGGGCAGGTCAGTATTCAACCATCAGGGAGCACAACAAGAGCCTATATGCAGGCTTCCTGCTCCCGACACCAGCAACCATTAAACCAACAGCAGAAACAACTACGTCATAATTAAAAATAATAATTTAGACAAAAATTCAGGACATGTATGGGATACAAGACTGTAGGATTCATGGGCAAGGCAAGGCAAGTATGCCACTAATATGCAGAGCCTTTTGGGCACTTGAAAAACTACTTGCATAAGAACTATTGTAGTAATGCCTGCACTAATAAGTACACCATGAAGCACTGTATCACATCTTTATTGACACTATCAAAAAGTTGATAGTTGCGGTATTTACTGATTAATCTGAAGATAGGTAACATGCCATAGTCACTTATTCTGAACTAGTGTAAATGTAACAGTTTGCCCGGATGTTACCTAATGTAGAGTGTATATCAAAATGCTTAAAAAAAAATTAACTATTTAAGCCCAACGTGAGCTTAATTACCAGTAAGGTTAAAACCACAATGATATGTAGAGTCCCACAGATCTATATTAATTCCAGCCTTGTGCTGAGACAAGCAATTGACTATGAATACATGATGTTTATTTGACCTCAAGGCCAGTTATCATTGCCAATTATTAATATTGGCAGTTAAGGCCCTTCGTGGCGGCCAGTGTGGCCTCTCGCCCGCCTCAAGGCACCCCACACCTGACAAGGCACCCCACACCTGACAAGGCACCCCACACCTGACAAGGCACCCCACACCTGACAAGGCACCCCACACCTGACAAGGCACCCCACACCTGACAAGGCTGGCCAGTTATGACTCTTAGCCAAATAAGTTATACTATACTCGCATATAATAATCGTGTGGCTGCTATAGCTATAAGTGACCATAATAACACGTTATGAGGACGGGTCCCCACCTCCCTCACACCAGGATATACTCCACATATTACCACTATTAACACACTCCTGGTCGGGTTACGGGCTCACCATAGCCCGTGCTACATGCACACTGTTCCGAGTAGCTAAATCTAAAACAACAAACACCACTCTTGGTCCCAACATGTTCAACCAATCCGCCCAAAAATGTCAGGATAACTTTTTGAAATTTTTGTAGTTTACTATGGCTCCCTCGTGTCTTACAGCTGCCTCCCTGGCCGCCAAGGAAGTTATGTCACGTTTGTATAGGTAATTGGTGGTGATGGTGAAGGCCATATGGGGTGATAAGGAGGTGGAAAGTGAGATAAAAATGAAAGGTGGGTGGTGAGCGGGGTGGTCAAGGCCACACAGCTGCACCTTCACCCAAACATTCACACACGCCAACGTTTGTCTGTGGTGGGATGGGACGGGGGGTTAGTGCTCACCTGCTCGACATGTCTGCGTCTCCAGCAGGGCCACCAGGCCCAGGGTTGGTGTGTTAGGGGCGCTCCTGCCTGCCCACAGCCACCATTATTAACCCCACACAACACACACCACCATGCAGGAGAGGCTCTAACTCTCCCACCACTGGCCGCCTCTCCCACGCTCCCTGAGCTCCTCTCCCACGCTCCCGGGGCTCCTCTCCCACGTTGCTACCCCCACACTGTCACACACACTCTCCGCCTGGTACGCTAATAACGTCAAGTGATAATTTGTTACTTTTATTCCATGAGCAGTTGCCGCTGCCATCGTCATTTTTATACTGGTCACCATGTTGTGGCGCTGACGGGTTTTGTGGCGGCCTCGCGCGCTCATTGGTCCACACGCCTCCCTCCTGCGCACGCGCACACTTCCCCGCCATATTCATACTAAAATAAATAAAATAAAATAAAATAAAATGTTTATTTAGGTAAGGTACATACATACAATAAATTTTTACAAAGATTGGTTGACTTATAGGTAGAGCTAGTACATACAATGCCTAAAGCCACTATTACGCAAAGCGTTTCGGGCATGATAAATTTAAATGACAAGCTTAATACTAATTGAGCATAAAGAGTAGATACTGGCCTTCTGCCCTCCCTCCCGCCCGCCATCATCTTATTTACTTATTTATTCATTTATTTTTATACAGAAAGGTACATTGGGTTTATAAGAGTACATAACATTGATGTTTTTTACATTCTTGTAAAGCCACTATAACACGCACAGCGTTTCAGGCAGGTCCTTAATCTAACGGATAGCAGCCCGAAACTCTGTGCGTGTTAGTGGCTTTAACAATAATAAACAATAACATTTTATTTAGGAAAAATATATACATAGATGCAGAGTTACAAACATACTATTCGATTTATAGATAGAGATAGAGCTAGAGCCAGGGGAGGATTTACTGGGCGCAAATCCTTAACTGTAGCCTCTTTTTAACTCAGCAGTAAAATGGGTACCTGGTTGTAAAAACGATTCTTCGCGGGTCGTATTCCAGGGAACACAGGACCTGCCCGAATCGCTACGCGTACAAGTGGCTGTATAAGAATGTAAAAACGCTTGTATATATCAATAAAAAAAAGCTAGTACCATACAATACCTAAAGTCACTAATACGCATAGCGTTTCGGGCAAATGTATTGTAAATACTGGCATATTGTATACTTTAAGTATTGTATATACTGCCTCCATCTATAAATCCATCATTATGTTTGTAACTTATCTTTTATGTATGTACTTTTAACTGAATAAACATTTTGATTTTGATTTTTTTTCATTTTAAGTAGGTAATTTCTAGCATAATTGAAAACATGTTTAGCAGGTACACTGTAAGAAAATTTGACAAAGATTAGCAGGTTCATTATAGTAAAATTTGAGGGTTATCAACAGTTACATTGTAGCGTAATTTGAGGATTATTTCAAGGTATAATGCAGTAAAATATGCGCTAAATATAGCAGCCATGATATAAGGTGATAGCGATGATTACAATGATAAAGTAATATGGCTTAGGTACATATATTGGGGGATTGGGTAGCACTAAAGACACTGAGAGTTACAGCACTAGGTAGGAAACTATGAAGATGAAAGGAAATGTATATGTTTATCTCTCAGAATGTTTGGTAATATGTTTATTGTTTGTGACGTGTGTCTATGTATGTATTAACACGATGTACTGAACGGGGTGAGAATAGCTTGAGCTACCACATCCCTTTGTGTGTATTTTACCTCAATAAACTTATTTCAATTTCAATGAAGATGAAATTACGTACGTTTTGGTTTTATTTTTGAATAAACCAAAAGTTGGACAGCTTTTCAATTCATTAGGAAGTGAGTTCCATAGACTAGGTCCCTTTATTTGCATAGTGTTTACACAGATTAAGTTTGACTCTGGGGATATCAAGGAGATATTTATGTCTGGTGTGGTTGAAATTGAAATTGAAATTGAAATAAGTTTATTGAGGTATCTGGTGTGGTGATTATGTGTTATTTTACATCTGTCCAGGAAAAGTTTCAGAACAGGGTTTGCACTTAAGAAAAGGGCTTTGTAAATGTAATTGACATAAAATAATGTGTGGAGTGAATTAATGTTTAGCATGTTTAGGGATTTAAACAACGGAGCTGTGTGTTGTCTGAAAGCAAAGTTTCTTATTGTCCTGAAAGCAGAATTTTGCTGGATGATGATGGGCTTGAGGTAGTTTGCAGAGGTTGAACCCCCATGCACAGATACCATAAGTAAGATAGGGTTAGATAAGTGCATAATATAGTGAGAGAAGAGCAGAGTAGGGAACATAATATCTGATCTTACAGAGTATACCAATTGTTTTCGAGACTTTCTTAGTTATGTGTTGTATGTGGGTGCTGAAGTTGAGTCTCTTGTCTAAGTATAGGCCAAGAAACTTTCTATCATTTTTATTGCTAATGATCTTCATTATCTATCTGAAGCTGAATTGTATTTGTTGATTTGCTTCCAAATAAAATGTAGTAGGTCTTTTCTATGTTTAGCGTGAGTTTGTTGGTTGAAATCCATAAATGGCATTTTTTTAATTCATTGTTTACCGCATTATTTAATGTGTGTGGGTTGGGGTTTGAGTAGATGAGAGTAGTACTGTATCATCAGCAAACAATATAGGTTTAAGAATGTTAGAGACATTAGGCAGATCATTGATGTATATAAGAAACAGGAGGGTCCTAGGATGCTGCCCTGTGGCACCCCTACGGTTAGTGGTAGAGTGGAAGAGGTTATATCATTGATGGCTGCATATTGGTGTCTGTCACTAAGATAGGATCGGATATAGTCCAGGGCAAGGCCTCGGATTCCATAATGTTGGAGTTTAAGTAAGAGGTAGTTGTGATTAACACTATCAAAGGCCTTGCTACTGTTAGTACTAGTAACTAGTAACAGTACTAGCTCTATCTAGAGCTACGGTTAGTCCCCGTGGCGCTGTGGTAAAGCACTCGCGTTGGCGCTTCGCGAACGCTTTAGCCTGGGTTTGTATCCTGGCGGGGGAGGATTGACTGGGAGCCACTCCTTAACTTTAGCCTCTGTTCACCCAGCAGTGAATGAGTACCTGGTTGTTAAACGATTTGGCGGGTTGTATTCCTCGGAAAAATTAAGATTAATGACTTGCCCGAAACGCCATGCGTGCTAGTGGCTGTACAAGAATGTAAAACCTGTTGTATATATAAAAAAACACAACATTCTGCTTGTAATTCAATATGTAGGTATATACTTTTTACCTAAATAAACTACATATTATTAGTATTATTACATAGAGTAATCACACTAGCGTGACTGCATCAATGAGTAAATCCGTAGGAGCCGTGATGAGGGCTCGAACCTTAAGGGGGCTTATTACGGGTTTCGTAAAAATTGTTCAATTTGTTTATAAATTTATTTATGAAATGGTTATAGAAAGGGCTGCAACTGGTCCAAGTTTCAGCATCACACCCTAAACAGAAAAGGAGAAAAAAAATACACAACGTATTATGCAACGAATTTTCAACATTTTCAAATAGTTTCAGGGAACACATGTGTCAACTAAAATCATTTCTATAACACTCAGATATTAAATGTAGCACATAATAAAGGATTGTAGTGATCAGTTTTATCAAAAAAGTGTTTAGTGCAATAATATAATTATTCAAAGTTACCCTTCCAAAAATATGCAATATATGATGTTTATAAATTTTTATAAAATCAACAAATGGACTTTGGACTAAAATGTCTCAATAGGTTTGTAGAAGCACAAACTCTACATATAAGGTGTAATTTGCATGTAAATTGATTAATAAATGAAAGCTCTGAAGTACTTTGAAGGTGTAAATTACTTTCCAGAGTAAAATAAAGATCCAAGTTCGGCCACCTGTAGCTGAGCTTGACTTCGACAGATTTCGTTCATAATTGGCACCCTTGCAGATAGGCATCCATTGAGCAAGGTGTGCAAGTTTCATGCAAATCCCTTGATAACAAACGAGAAAAAAAAATTGGCCAAAAAAAAAAGAAAAAAAAAAAAAATTTTACATATAAATATATTGCACATACATATTACAATTATTACAAGAGTTTGTGCTTCTACAGCACATAGTAGACATTTTAGTTGACACATGTGTTCCCTGAGATTATTTGAGAATGTTGAACATTCGTTGCATAATACGTTGTGTATTTTTTTCTCCTTTTCTGTTTAGGGTGTGATGGTGAAACTTGGACCAGTTGCAGCCCTTTCTATAACCATTTCATAAAAAAATTTATAAGCAAATTGAACAACTTTTAATTTATACTGATATGCCCCCTTAAGGCTGGTTGGGTGGATGCTGTGGTGGGTGGGTGGCTGGTTGGGTGGATGGTTGGGTGGGTGGGTGGCTGGTTGGGTGGATGGTTGGGTGGGTGGGTGGCTGGTTGGGTGGATGGTTGCAGTGGGTGGCTGGTTGGGTGGATGGTTGGGTGGGTGGCTGGCTGGTTGGGTGGGTGGTTGGGTGGGTGGGTGGCTGGTTGGGTGGGTGGCTCGTTGGTTGGGTGGGTGGTTGGTTGGTTGGGTAGGTGGCTGGTTGGGTGGATGGTGTGGTGGGTGGGTGGCTGGTTGGGTGGATGGTTGGGTGGGTGGGTGGCTGGTTGGGTGGATGGTGTGGTGGGTGGGTGGCTGGTTGGGTGGATGGTTGGGTGGGTGGGTGGCTGGTTGGATGGATGGTTGGGTGGGTGGGTGGATGGTTGGGTGGGTGGGTGGCTGGTTGATTAGATGGGTGGCTGGTTGGGTGGATGGTTGGGTGGGTGGGTGGCTGGTTGGTTAGATGGGTGACTGGTTGGGTGGATGGTTGGGTAGGTGGGTGGCTGGTTGGGTGGATGGTTGGGTGGGTGGGTGGCTGGTTGGGTGGATGGTTGGGTGGGTGGGTGGCTGGTTGGGTAGGTGGCTCGTTGGTTGGGTGGGTGGTTGGTTAGTTGGGTAGGTGGCTGGTTGGGTGGGTGGGTGGCTGGTTGGGTGGATGGTGTGGTGGGTGGGTGGCTGGTTGGGTGGATGGTGTGTTGGGTGGGTGGCTGGTTGGATGGGTGGGTGGCTGGTTGGGTGGGTGGCTCGTTGGTTGGGTAGGTGGCTGGTTGGGTGGTTGGGTGACTGGTTGGGTGGATGGTTGGGTGGGTGGGTGGCTGGTTGGGTGGGTGGCAGGCTGATTTGGTGGGTGGCTGGTTGGGTGGGTGACTGGTTAGGTGGGTGGGTGGCTGGTTGGGAGTGTGGGTGGCTGGATGGGTGGGTGCTTGGTTTGTTTGGTG